CTATCTATTCCCTTTTTTGTTTTTCTATATACAGAGATTGACAAGATTATTGGTATTTGTCATTCTCTCGATTTCTTTCTTTTTTTTCTTTTTTTAAATTTTATTTTATTGAATCACCATGAGATACAGTTATAAGCTTTCATCATACAATGACCAGACACCCATCCCTCTACCAGTGCACATTCCCCACCACTAATATCCCCATTATATCCCCTCTTTCTCATCCTCCCCCTGCCTCCATGGCAGACAATTTCCCCCATACTCTCTCTCTACTTTGGGGCATTATGGTTTGCAATAGATACTGAGAGGCCCTTGCGAACGGCCAACTCAGGGTTCAATCCTAGGTGCTGCATGTGGTCTTCTGAGCACTTCCAAGGGTGATCCATTGGTACAGAGTCAAAAGTAAGCCCTGAGCATAGCCAGTTGTGGTTCAAAAAACTTTTTAAAAAACATAAATCATCAGGGGCTGGAGCGATAGTAGAGAGGGTAGGGCGTTTGTCTTGCATGCGGCCAGCCTGGGTTCAATTCCCAGCATCCCATATGATCCCCTGGGCACCACCAGAACTAATTCCTAAGTGCAAATCCAGAAGTAATGGAATCCCTGGTAATATATGATAGTGAACAATTTTTCATATGCCAACTATCTGTATGTTCTCTTTGTGAAAATGATTTTTTATCTCTTATTTCTTAATAGGGTTGTTAGGTTGTTAGGGGTATTTTTTAGTTTTTTTTTTTTTTGCTGAATCTTGTGATTGTTTTTTATATATTTTGGATATTAGCTCTTTATTTAATGTATTGTGTACAAATATTTTCTCCCATTCAGGAGGATGTCTCATGTTTTAGACATCATTTTTTTGTCATGTAGATTTTTCCCTACATTTTTTATATAGTCTCATTTGATAAGCCCTCTAACTCCTAAACGTATAGTAATCTGAGAAATTCATGTCATGACTGATTTTATCAGGTGAAAGAAAAGACCAGCACATAACAGCAAGTTAGAATACAACTTAAGAGGAGAATGGGCTTCAACCGTATGCTTCACAAAAGCAATTGATTAGAACATGAGAAACAAGGCATCTAACAAAAAGGGAAATCAAATATTTTTATGACTTCATGCATTTAGCAATTACTTATTGGCTATGTACTAAGTTCTTACAGATAAATTAGACCCATGAGAGAAATAAAGTGTGCTTCAGTAAAGCTCCACAGAGGTAAACTCATCAAGAAATTGAATGACATCTTTTGTTGACTTTGGTGATTATAGATAGATAGATAGATAGATAGATAGATAGATAGATAGATAGATATCTCATCAAGTGACCCATATATATATATATATATATATATATATATATCCAGGAGTAAGTAGTAACTCTCTCTCTCTCTCTCTCTCTCTATATATATATATATATATATATATATGAAGCCCAGAAGTGATACATGACCACAGAACCAGGAGTAAGCCCTGAGTACTGCTAGGTGTGGCCCCTAAAATAAATAAAACATATCCTGGGGCTGGAGCAATAGTGCAGTGGGTATGGTATTTGCTTTGCATGTAACCAACTTTGCTTCAACCCCCAGTACCCCCATATGGTCCCTAAGTACCAGGAGTAATTTCTGAGCACAGAGCCAGGAGTAACCTCTGAACATTGCTGGGTGTAACCAAAAAAACAAAAACAAATCATATTTGTCTCAAAATGATCTGTATTTTGTATGTTGCCAGTCTCATTGGATTTTTTTTTAATCTAGGAGAGTGTTGTTCTAAATATTTCAAATGTATAAACGTGAATTGAGGGGTCTACATACTTACTCCTGCCTAGCCCACCTGGGGAATGCAGAAGAGAGATAAGCATTATATTTAATAGTTGAATTGACTTTAAGGCACTGAATATATTTGGTTTGGGGTGTTGTGTTTTAGTCCCATCTTTTCTCTCTTTTTTATGCATTTGGGTGTAGCCTCAAGATTCTGGAGAAGGAAGTAGGGTGTTGAGGATAGAAAAACTACCTTTATGAGCCAGTGTTCCACCCTTTGAGGAGGCAGTCATGTCAGGAAGAGATTATGTTTAAAAAAGTGCCTGTCACTTCAAGCCTCACTCTGTTTCTGTCCCTAAGAGATGACTTGCCTTCTCTTTAATTCCTAACACAGTTGGCAGTGATGAGAGCTACATCAGACTTTGCTAACGGGGGGCAGTCTCCTTCCTTCTTCATCAGAAATAGTACAAAGTTTCAAAATAGTAAAATTTGATAAATTAATCTTAGAGTGGAGCCAGGTGGGTTTCCCTTTTCTACTTACATTGACCTGTAAGATCCAAGGGACCAAACTTTCCATCTTCTCCTAGACCTAGTTTATCAAAGACTTATTTAATAATAGAAGTTACAGTATTCCATCTCATCTCTTGCTCAACATATATTTATTAAAATACTTTTATGAGCAAGATACTACTCTAGAGATACAGCAGTTAAATATATATGCAAATATATATGTTTACTATATGTTAAATATGTTTTATATGCTAAATATTCATTAAATTTTATAAGTACACATAATAAATACGTATTATATAATATGTTATCTATAAAGGTAAAGGTAAAGGCCCTCCCGTTGATCGTCGATTTGCTCGAGCGGGCCCAGTAATGTCTCCATTGGAGACTTTGTTGTTACTGTGTCTGGCATATCGAATACTCTCGGTAGCTTGCCGGGCTCTCCGAGAGGGGCGGAGGAATCGAACTCGGGTCGGCCATGTTGGCCGCTTGTAAGGCGAACGCCCTACCCGCTGTGCTATCGCTCCAGCCCATGTTATCTATATTTAGCAAATATAGATAATATTCTGTCCTTAGAATTAATCCTAATGGAAAGACAATAAACAAGATAAATAAACCAAATTTAAATATAGAGAATATTAGAGAGCTATTAAATGATGTTCATTAAGTTGAAAAGTGGGAATGATAAGAAGTACTAGGGATCAAGGAAAAACTCATTGACAGCTGACATCTAAAAAAGGATCTGAAAAAAAAAATGAATGAGTGAGAGGTCAAGTTATGCAAAGAGCTTTCCAGGTGCAGCAAACAGTGAGTGGAGCTCCCTGAGTTGGGTATACTTCTAGTACATATGGGGATAGCACGAAGGCCAGTGTGCCTCAGTAGAGCAAGCCCATCCCACACCAGGAGAAGCGGTCATCAATAGCCTTACAAGTCAGTGTAGGGACATTACCTTTTCTTTCCCACTTGGGAAACCATAATGGATTTTGTTTTATTTTTTGTTTTTAGGCCACACTTGCGAGTTTTCAGGTCTTAGTCTTGAGTTTCCAGTTCTTAGTGCTCGGGGATCACTCTTGGACCCCCCCTCAGGGGACCAAATGAGGTGCTGGGGATAGAACAGATGTCAGCTGTGTGCAAGGCATATGCCTTTACCCATGTACTCTCTCTCGCCCCATAATGAGTTTTGAAGAAGTACCTTCACCCGTCTTGGGTTTTAACAGAATCTTTTCGAGAAAGGATTATAGGGAGAAATGCAGGAGCTGAGAAGCTCACTAATGGTGACTTGAACTATGGGTCACAATTAAGCAACATGAGCCAAAAGGAGAGACTTAATGGGGAGAGTGTTGAGAGAGAAGAATTGCAAAGTTTCTGGTCTAATCAAACTGAAAAATGGCTTGCTCCTTTTTAAATGTTCTTAGTGCCTTGCTGCTGTTGTTGTTGTTATTCCATACCCCCTTCTCTTTTCTTTGCTGGTGTTGCAATGACCAGGGGTTGCACTTTCACTGTCCTTCTGACACCACACTTGGTGGCAGTGCACCAGAGATTATAAACTTCATTGTGGTGTTTGGATCGTGCTCAAGCTTATGGGGTGGTGCCAGGGACTGAACTCATGACCTGCATGGCAGGTGCTTTTCCACTGAACCACATCCCTGACCCAAGTACGACTTCCTCTTTACTGGAATAGGGAAGGCTCTGAGTACAGGATTATCTTTGATGGAAGAAAAATAAGAAATGATAAGGATCTTGCTTTTGTTTATGCTAAATTTGAAGTGGCTATAAAGATTAAATGGAGATCCAGTAGAGGTCTAGGATAAAGACATACGCTGGGAATTCATCAATGTTAAATATTATGTAAAATTAAGAACATAGGGGATTCCTGAGAGAATGAATATAGATAAAAAAGAGAATATGTTCAAAGAGTGAGGTGAAAAGCAAACAACAAAAAAATACAATTTGGATCTTTATATAGTTAGTAATGTAACATCCTAGAATTAAGAGAAAGAATTTTTAAGAGAAAAGAAGGGGATCAAGTCAGCTTAATGTTAAAAGTTAAATAAATAGTTAAAAAAGTAACTTTTGATTTACTCAAGGTAAAGGTCACTGATTGGAGAAGTCAAAGTAAGGGACCGGAAATTGGAGACCAAAGTAATGAATACACCATTCAAGCATATAAATGGAAAGAGTGAGAGGACATGGCAGGGGGCCAGGAGGCAAGGCCAGACTGCTGAGGCAGGGCTGTTGACCGTCACATGCTCTGAATTTGTACATTAGCTCTGTCTGGTCTCAGAGACCTAAATGATCTTGCTTGAGATAGACATATAGATTCCTGAAATGTTTCTCATTTATATTAAATACTGAAGAGAGATGGGGATAATTCAGCTGCCTTAATCTACACGCAGTCTTCCTTCTTTTATCTCTAAGTTACTTAAAATGTTTTTCTTATATTTTACTTTAAAATTTAGTTTTTAATCATGTTACTTACATGTTTTCTACATTATAATTAATTGTTTGCCTGTCTGTCTCCTAACCTGAGTTTCTTGAAGCACAGGAACATTTTGCTTTGATGTCTATATCCATCTCATGGCAGAGTTTCTAGCATATAGTACATACTGCACAAATGTTTCTTGAATGAATTCCATATTAACATTCTGATATGTTTGACATAAATATCCTTGTCTTCAAGTTTTTTATTCATTTCTGAATAAAGAATATTTGGTGTTTGGACCTTTTGCTTTCCATAGAATCCCCATGGAGCAGGCCTAATAAGAACTGGTTCCCTGCAGCTCAGCAGCACCTCTCTTGGGAATTCATCTTTGAAAAGGACTAAGCGGAAAGCACCTTCCCCACCTTCCAAAATACCCCTACATCAAAGTGATGAAAGCTTTCAGGCGACAGGTATGCTACTTTTGCCACTAACGTTATATTTGCATTGTGGCTTATTGAATAAATGTGATAGAAGTGATATTGGATATAAATCATTTATTTTACACATAGTACTTAAATTTAGGTTTAGGGTTACTCTGTTTAGTCCTTTATTGGTTTCAACTGTATTTTTTTAAACTGCTGACAAAACAAGGTAAAATGGAAAATTTGCCCAGCTCTCTTATTCTAGAATGAGAGTGTTAAAATTTGTCAGTCTATTTACAAAGTTCCTTTTCAAGATTAATTTACTGTAGAAATGGGACTCTAAGTAGATCTTAGTAGCATCTAAGCAGGATAGTGATATTCCTCCATGGTTAGTGGGGGCTGCAGTGATAGCACAGCCGGTCGGGCATTTGTCTTGCATACAGCCGACCCGGGTTCAATTCCCATCATCCTATATGGTCTCCTGAGCACCGCCAGGGGTAATTCCTGATTGCAAAGCCAGGAATAACCCCTGTGCATCGCCAGCTGTGACCCAAAAAAGCAGGAAGAAAAAAAACATGGTTAGGGATAATTTGTGAATTTAATAAAAATAACTAAGTTAAGCTACTAAAGAATTGTGTGTCTGTAAATGTGAACTGTAAGTTGCGATGCATCTTCAGAACTTTCCATACAAGATCTCTGTTTTTTCCAACAGACAGTGTTTCAGAAGCAAACTCTACTGAAGGTCTGTCAAGCCCAGGTATGATAGCTTTATTCTATTGCATGTTTTTTAATTATCGATTAGAATTCCATGGCAATGAATTAAACATTTATGTAAGTTGAATATTGAAACCAGTATAATGTTCTTTATACGAAAGACATAGAAGTGATTCAACTGCATTTCACAAATTTTACACTATGAAATGGAAATTTGTTTCCTCCTGTGTTTAGAGTATGAGACTAGCAGAACTCAAAATTTTAGTTCTGCTATGGTACCTTGAGTATTTTTCTAGGAGACGTCTGTTTTTCCTTTTGCAGTATTTGATCACCTTTTATATCTTCCCATGAGCTGTGTCAGATCTCAGGAGTAAACCTTTTTCACCATGAAATGGATTTTTTTCCTCCTGTGTTTAGAGTGTGAAACTAGTAGAACTAAAAATTTCAGTTCTGCTATGGTATCTTGAGTATTTTTCTAGATCTCCTATTTTCCCTTTTACAATATCAGGTTACCTTTTACAGTCTTTCCATCAGCAGTATCAGATCTCAGGAGTAAACCTTGGTGTACTGAGGGGAAAATATATACAGCACACCATTTTTTGTATAATTATTTTCAGTATGAGCTTAATATTCACAGCCCTAATCTATTGTTAAAATTTTTATTATAGAATTCTGTATATGATCTCAGTTAGGATTTTATTCAAATAAATGAAATTCCAGTGGAAATAAAATAATGCATCTGACACTGCTTCCTAATATTCTCAATAAGCTTTATGTAGCTTTTATAAAAATAACTGTAATAAAATTCCTTTATTCTTAGATAATTTAAGGTTAGACATAAATGAATATGACAGGCTAATAATGTTGAATCAAAAATAGAATATTACTGTGTCAGACGTTACAAAAGGAGTAATTTGATAGATGTAAAACTTGTTTTGTATAAAACTCTACCTAATATTTTGGTGGGAAGGGGAGTTCCAAAGCAGCTCAGGGGTTCTGGGGCCCACTCCTGCTAATATTTGAATAACTAAGCCAGATGGCTCAATGCTCGAAACTGATGATGTAGCATTTCCAAGCCAGCTTCTGAGGGCCTCTAGGGCAACATTGGCTGTGATTGAGGGCCATGCAATGCCAGGATTCAAACTCAGGTTCCTGCAAAAGCAACACACACATTCTTGACTATTGTGCTATCTCCTAACTATATCTATTTAATTATTGGATTCATAAATACAAGAAAAACTTGGAAGTATTCAAATGCTTATTAATAAAAGGTAAAGTAAAGGCCCTCCCGTTGATCATCGATTTGCTCGAGCGGGCCCAGTAACGTCTCCATTGGAGACTTTGTTGTTACTGTGTCTGGCATATCAAATACGTCACGGGGAACTTGCCAGGCTCTGCCGTGCAGGCGAGATACTCTCAGTAGCTTGCCGGGCTCTCCGAGAGGGGCGGAGGAATCGAACTCGGGTCGGCCATGTTGGCTGGGCTTTTGAAACATAATAAGATTTATTTTCTCTGATTAAAATTCATTCAACAACCAATATGGATTTTTCTGAACTAGAATGATGCCAATGATGCCATTTCAGTTTACAAAGGAAATTCATTGAGTAATATCAGAGTGAGTGAAATGAGAAGATGGTGAAATATTAGGAAAAGGGTGTATTGATGATTCAAACTTTGCTTGACAGCTGCTGCATTTTGTCTTCCTTTCCCCCTTGTGTTTCTTCTCATTTAATGCATGGAAAATTGTGAGCTAACATCTGAATTCTTCAAAAATGCTTCTCGTTTTCTGCTGCTATAACCTTGTTGTCTAAGTGCCATTTCCACAGATTTTTACTTCTTTGGCAGACACTTCCCTTGGCCCTGGGCTCCCCAGTCATGAACTGTGCACTGTGCCCAAAGAAGCCTCTCAGTGCTCTGGATCGCCCGAGGCAGCCGTAGCATCTCTGACATGTAGGTGGCCAGGCCTTTCCTAGCTGGTACTTTGTTTAATACAGATTATGATATCATTGTATACAGATTTGATTCTCCATTGACCCTTTATATGAAAGACAATCGTAAAGAAATATTTTCCGCATTACATTTGAAATAGTGTGCATTTGAAATTGTAGGCTTGGAGTGTAATCTTAGCCTAGTATTACAGATGAATATGACAGATTTAAGAAACATAAAAACCATGAACCAGAAAGACATGCAGTGGTTAGGACACTTGACTGTGCATGGCTGACCTAGGTTTGATTCCCTGTATTCCATATTGTCCCTGAGCACAGCTCGGTGTTGCTCAAAAAAAAAAAAAATCAAAAACCCAATCAAAAACACCTAAATGGAAACATCCAGAAATATGAAATCAGTAAGTAAAAAAAGGTTTTTGGCTTCTTTCCTTTTTGACTTCTGATCTTTGCAACATTGTCTTAATAGAATTATTTTTTCATATGTAACTATATAAATATAAAATAATTACATATTTCTTTACTGAAGAATTATTATCTAGTCATGGCTTATGTTCTATAGTATTTCTTTTGATTGAATGGGGGAAAGATTCTTTTTAAATTATCAGAATTATTTTGTTGCAAGATGACAAAACTTTGTAGTTAATATTAGGACTTTGTAATTGATTTTCTTCATATTTTTAGTGACCTAGAGTCCTTATCAAATTAAATCAGTTATTTAAAATTAGTATACTGTCACATAAAAAATGCAAAATTATTTTTGCAGCAGTTCATAAAGCACAGTTTGACAAATATTATTTTCAATGAAAAATAAAATTATGACTCTGAAATATTTGTGATGGGACTTAGAGAAATACAAAGAGTGATCAGTAATTTGCTACATCTAATCTCAATCTTTTTTTCCCTAAGAGTTTAATTTGTACTGAGAGGTCATATAAAGCATATTTGCATCTAAATCATTCATTTTTTCCAGTGCAGTTTTCAAAATGTATTTACTACATAGAAGTAATGTGTTAGCATAGACACAATATTATGCATTGCCATCATATCAAATATTCCACATGGCATAATAGCAGTATTTTTCTGTACATGTGTATTTAGATTATTCACTTAAATTCAAGTTGTATAATGTCTTTATCTTGAGCAACGTTTTTTTTTAAATGTACCCAAAAAAGAGGCTATAGAGATAATACAGTGGGTTGCTGAGGGTTGAATTCATGTCGACTGTGTGCAATGCAATCACACTTCCTACTGTACTATCTCTCTGCACCTTTTCTTCAAATATACTTATAAACTTGTTAAATTCATGTTCTGATCACTATAAATTCAATGCTACGCTATTTTTCCCTACCTCTACTTTGATAATATTAAACTTACTTAAGCTCCTATTATATAAATGGAAATGTTGAATTACTTTTAAAGAAACAAAGTTCTAGAACTTAATTTTTTTTTTTTTTACTTTTTGGTTTTGGTTTTTGTTTGGGGGTCACACCCGGAAATCCTCAGGGCTTACTCCTTAAGGATCTATCTCTGGTTGTGCTTGGGTTGACCATATGTGATGCAAGGTATAGAATCCAAGACAGCCATGTTCAGGAGAAGTGCCTAACCTGTATTCTGCATCTCTGAGCCTCAGAACCTCATTCTTTGCTTTAAAATTTAATTTCACAGCTGATGTGGAGGATACTCAATGCTTAGGATGTTGCCTCCTTTACCTTGTTGGTCATTTGTTAATGGCACTAAAGATAAAATGATCAAACCCATTTCTATATAATGAAAAGAAATTTTGTAGAGTGAAACCTTAACCAAGCAATACATACACTTTTTAATCTTTGGACATAGTTATTTGAATAAAACATATGCAGTAGAAAATATTTCCGTTTATTATTAAATAAATCCAGAGCAAAAGAAAGAAATGTGAAAACTATGTCTGGTTATATTGCATCTTTATACTTTCTGATGATATAGATGAATAAACACAAAGAAAATTACCTCCGAATCAGAGGGTAAGTGGTAATAAAAGTTGCTTTTTATTGTATTATACTAATTTTATTTGTACTTTTAGACATCTGAATCAGTAGACTTTAACCCATACTGCACATTAGAATTAAAAGTTCTAATTCTCTGAAGAGTCTTTAAAATTCTTGGTATTCTGTATGTATGTAGAGTAAAATGCGAGCATTGATATGTTTTAAAATGGCTCAAGTAGGGTAAGAGAGTAAGCTTAATGGCTGGAATGCATGCATTGGATGTTGGGGATACAGGTTTGATTTCTGACACTTTATGGTCCCCTGGGCATAACTAGAGATGAGTGCGCCTTGAGCACTGAGCAGTGAGTAGCCCCTGATAAGTATGTCTTAGAAATGAAAAATAGATGAATAAATAGAAGAGCTAAAACAATTCTCAGTTCTAGTTAGTACTAGTAACAGTCAGATCAGATTTTTATAAATATGCGCACATGCAAACAGTATCAAAATATTATATTCTTTTCATTTACAGTGAGAATTGTTGTATATAATTAAAATTGAAAGATTTATAATTGTTTATTTTTATTTGTTTTTTTTGGGGGGGGGGCAAGGACCATACATTTGGGCATGCACTCAACAATCAGTCTATAGCCCCACTTGAAAGATATATTTTTTAATGTAGTTTGCAAGCTTAACCTCTTTCTTATACCATGAATAAATCCAGATTGATTTTATATTAGTTTTAGAAGTGAGTATAATTAGATAATCTGATATATGATAACATGATTATCCACCATTAGCAAAGACTTCACTTTTAGGTATGAATCTAAAAGAAAAGGGGGATATTACAACAGAAACTACAGCAATTCAAAGGATCCTCGGAGATACTTTGAGAATCTTTATGCTGCAAAACAAGCAAACCTTGAGAAAATGGATAAATTCCTGGATTCCTATAGCCTCCTGAGGCTGAACCAAGAAGACTTGGAATATCTGAACAGACCTATCACCATCAAGGAAATTGAAACAGTAATAAAAAGTCTCCCCAAAAACAAAAGTCCTGGCCCAGATGGATTCACTAATGAATTCTTCCAAATCTTTAAAGAGGACTTACTCCCAATCCTCTTTAAGCTTTTCCAGGAAATTGAAGAATCAGAAACACTTCCAAACAGCTTCTATGAAGCAAATATCACCCTGATGCCAAAAGCAGGCATAGATACCACAAAGAAAGAGAATTACAGGCCAATATCCCTGATAAACACAGACACAAAGATCCTCAACAAAATCCTAGCAAACAGAATCCAACGACTCATCAAAAAGATCATACACCATGACCAAGTAGGATTCATCCTGGGAATGCAAGGGTGGTTTAACATTTGCAAGTCAATCAACATAATCCATTATATCAATAAAAGAAATAATAAAAACCATATGATTATATCAAAAAAGCATTTGACGAAATCCAGAACCAGTTTATGATGGCAACTCTGAGCAAAATAGGCATTGCAGGAACTTTCCTCAATATAGTCAAAGCCATCTACCACATGCCCACCCAAGCATCATTCTCAATGGGGAAAAACTAAAAGCCTTCCCTCTAAGATCAGGCACAAGACAAGGTTGCGCACTCTCACACTCCTATTCAATATAGTACTGGAAGTACTGGCTATAGTAGTTAGGCAAGAAAAAGATATCAAGGGCTTACAGGTAGGAAAGGAAGAGGTCAAACTATCACTATTTGCAGACGATATGATACTATACTTAGAAAACCCTAAGGACGCTACAGAAAAGCTCCTAGAAACAATAGGTTTGTGTAATAAAGTTGCAGGCTACAAAATCAACACGCAAAAGTCCATGACTTTCCTATATACAGATAATGAAAGAGAAGAGACATTAAAAAAAACAATACCGTTCACAATAGTACCTCAGAAAATCAAGTACTTTGGAACCAGCTTAAATAAAGAGATAAAGGACCTATACAATGAAAATTAAAGAACACTACTTCAGGAAATAAAAGTGGACACTAGGAAATGTAGACACATCCCCTGCTCAGGGATATGGAGGATCAACATCAAAATAGCAATATTTCCCCAAAGCACTATATAGATTTAATGCGATCCCTATCAGGATACCCATGACATTTTTCAAAGAAATAGACAAAACACTCCTGAAATTCATATGCAACAATAAACCTCCACAAATACCTAAAACAATCCTTGGGGAAAAGAAGATGTGTGGCATCACCTTCTTCAATTTCAAACTATAGTACAAAGAAGTAGTAATTAAAACAGCATGTTATTGGGCTAGAAATAGACCCGCTGTCCACTGACTGGAACAGAGTTGAATATTCTGCACAGACTCTCAAATACATGACAACTTAATCTTTGACAAAGGAGCAAGAATTGTGAAGTGGAACAAGGAAATCCTCTTCAACAAGTAGTGCTGGGAAAACTGGATAGCTACTTGCAAAAAAAATGAACTCTGATCTCTGTCTAATGCCAGGCACAAAAGTCAGATTAAAGTGGATTAAAGAACTCAGTATCAGACATGAATCCATAAGATAAGGAAAATGTAGGCAGAACTCTCCATTATACTGAAGCTAAAAGCATCTTTAAGGATGAAAAATCACTGACCAAGCAAGTGGAATCAAACAAACAAATGGGACTACATCAAGCTAAGAAGCTTTTGCACTTCAAAAGAAACAGGGACCAAAATACAGAGAAAGCCAACAGAATGGGAAAGAATATTTACCCAACACCCATCTTATAAGGGATTAATATCCAGGATATATAAGACACTAGTAGAATTGTACAAGGAAAAAACCTCCAACCCCATCAAAAAATGAGAAGAAATGAACAGAAGATTCCTCAAAAAGGAAATACAAATGGCCAAAAGGCACATGAAAAAGTGTTCCACATCACTAATGAACAGAGAGATGCAAATCCAAACAACAGTGAGATATCATCTCACACCACAGAGACTGGCACACATTCAAAAGAACAAAAGCATGGTGTGGATGTGGGGGAAAGGGAACACTATTTCACTGTTAGTGGGAATGTCCACCAGTCCAACCTTTCTGGAAAACAATATGGACATTCCTTCAAAAACTAGAAATTGAGTTTCTGTATGACCCTGCAATACTACTTCTGGGAATATATCCCAAGAGTGCCAAAAAGCACAGTAGAAATTACATTTGTGCCTATATGTTCATTAAAGCACTGTTCACAATAGCCAGAATCTGAAAACAACCTGAGTGCCAGAGAACAGACTACTAGTTAAACAAACTTTGGTACATCTGCACAATGGAATACTATGCAGCTGTTAGGAGAGATGAAGTCAGTGTGAAATTTGCTTATAAGTGGATAGACATAGAGAGTATCATGCTAAGGGAAATGAGTCAGAAAGAGAAGGACAGACATAGAAGGACTGCACTCATTTATAACATAACATGAGACTGACACCCAAGTACAGTAGACACACGGGCCAGGAAGATTGCTCCATAGTTGGAAGTGTGCCTCATGAGCTGGGGGAGAAGGCAACTGGAATAGAGAAGGGATCACTAAGACAATGATGGTTGGAGGGATTGATTGGGATGGGAGATGTGTGCTGAAAGTAGATAAATGACCAAACATGATAATCTCTCAGTATCTGTATTACAGACCATAATGCCCCAAAATAGAGAGAGAGTATGGGAGAAATTGTCTGCCATGGAAGCAGCGAGAGGGTTGGAAAGTGGGGGGTGTGGGGGGTGTATACTGGGGACATTGGTGTTGGATAATGTGCACTAGTGGAGGGATGGGTGTTTGATCACTGCATGATTGAAACCCAAACATGAAAGCTTGTAACTATCTTGTGTTGATTCAGTTAAAAAAATTACTTCCTTGCCAGGATTATATGGAAAAAAGGAAGGAAACCAATATTTATAATTACCTCTTCATTTATTTGTAGCTGGAATAAGCTCTGATTTTAGCCTTGAAGAAATAGATGAAAAGGAAGAATTGAATGAAGTACCTAAAGATGAGGCTGAAAATATTTCTCTGAAGTCACAGGATATTTCTGTGGGATCTACTGATATAATAAGTACATCGAATACTGTTCCTGACTCAGTCCTTGGCAATGATATGGAAGAGTCCTCACAAAACTGCAAAGAAAAACAAGAAACTAGAAACACAGATGGACAGTAAGTAGTGTGTATGCCAGAAGTGTTTGTGACAGTTTGTCTAATTAATACTAGTCTTCTGAAATATAAATCTGATATTTTAGACACAAATATAGTCATTCATTTAGTTTAAATTCTATCCCTTTTACGTTATTATGAATTTTTATTTACAAAATGCCTATTTGTATGCCCTTGTTTTGAAATAAAATCAAAATTGACAGTTCTGATATTCCTGTGTCAGAAAAAGACTGTAACATTTCCAAAAAACTGTAACATGAATGGGCCAAATATTAAAGTTTTGGTACTGTATGTGTCTCACCATTTGTTTGACCTAAATGAGACATTGATTTTCAATTTTTAACAAATGTTCTTCAGAAATTTTCACTGGTTAGTAAATAAAGCAATTCTACATTTTAGGATATGATGTTAATGCACTATTTGTTTAACCCTCACAAAATGTATGATACATCAGAGACGACCACTGTGTACTTGATTTTCAGAATTGAAAGCTTTAGTAGAGTCCACTTACATTATGTTTGAACTGACATAATGTAAATAAAGCTGAATAAGCACAGCAAAATCACCCCTTTTCATCAGTGTTTTACAATAAGTGTTTGTGGTATTGTTTCCAAATTAAACTCCTCTATCATCAGAAAAACAACAAAAAATATCCTGATTAATGTACAATAAACTTTGCCAGATACAGCATATACAAGACTAAAATGATCCTTTGATTTCTCGTTTCATATAAAAAACGACCAGTCATAAAAAAAGACACGGTTACTAGAGCAGTATCTATTTAACCAAACTACTTACATCTTTCTTTATAATAAACCATCATATGGAAACTGAGGGTTCATGGCATCATCTTCACTCAGTTGTATTTTTTTTCTTTGCTATTACATTTCCAGTATTTGGCAGAAAGACATTACTTCATCCATATGTGTTTGGAAATTATTGCCTAGTATCTTTGTGTATGTGTGTGTGTGTTTAAATGGGATAAATATATACCATATACTATCATATTTTGCAGAGGACCATGCATTATGGTACATAATACCAGCATTCAAGAAAAGGTACCTGATAGTATAAGAAACTTGAAGTCACTTCATCCTAATCAAAATGGTGAGTGATATACATACTAGCCACAGTATTATACTATGAGCCAATGACCATTCTTAATTCTTAACTCTTTTATTTGTTTGTTTATTTTGTTTGGGGGCCACATCCAGCAATGGCCAGGGCTTACTCCTGGCTCTGCACACAAGGATCACTCCTGGTAGGCTTGGGGGGAAAAATGATACTATACAAAAAATTTCAAGGAATATACAGGTACTTTGAGGAATATCATAGAAATAGTTTATGAATTCTTGTAGACCTTTTAGTTATGTATATCTAGGTAAAAATTCCTAGAAAACACAGGGACATGTGTTTATTTTTTGTACAAAACATTGATTACCCCAATGTTATAGGTAAGTAGGATGACGGAAACAGTTTATATTTATGATGTGTGTTGATTTTTTAAATACCTATGCCACTCCTTCATAATCTGCATGGTCAGTACTATGGTGAAATACAGTACTAAAAGGATTAAAATTATATAATTTTTCCATTCTTTTTCTCTATTTTTATGTAGTGTATACACTGAGGAAAGTATGTCGTTAAAAAAAAACACACAACTAAAAAGCTGCTTCCAGGAGCAGGGAGTTGCATCAGTGGTGGAGCATTTATTTGTTTCTTAATTGCCTTGCATATGTGAATCCCTTGGTTTGATCCCCCCAGCAAAGAAAATAAATAAATAAATAAATAAATGCTTCTTTCTTGTTTAAAAAATCATTGTTAGGGGCAGGAGAGATATAAGAGGTCTGGCCTCAATCCTTGACACTCCATGATCCCCTTGGCACAGCATGAACCTCAGCACTGACATGAACAATTCCTAACCTGTTGAGTTGGGAGTAGTGCCTGAATGCTATTAGGTGTGGCCCCAAGACCAAAATAGTAATAATAATATAAATAAATTTAAATTAATTAAATCATAGTTAAAGCATTCTTTAAAAAAAAAACTGGGGTTTTTTTGTTTGGTTTTTTTTTTTTTTGCTTTTTGGGTCACACCCAGCAATGCACAGGGGTTACTCCTGGCTTTGCACTCAGGAATTATTCCTGGCAGTGCTCAGGGGACCATATGGGATGCTGGAAGTAGAACCCGGCTCGACCCCGTGCAAGGCAAACACCCTGCCCTCCGTGCTATGGCTCCAGCCCCAGTTGAAGCATTTTTGAGAAGACATGACATCAAGTTGGCACTCACAATGAAAAGCACATTTCTGTAGTAATATTTATTTTGAATTGCGTCTAATTAGCAATAACCTTTGTCAACTTTGAATCATGATTCTTTTCCATGGAACTTCAACCTATGGCTACACATATTTGACACAGGTGCTCTTCCATGAACCACATCACACTAAATCAGCTTTTAAAAGTAGATAATAGGCTTGTTCTTCGAGCCCATGTTCACCCTTGAGCACATATCTCACTTGCTTGTCTCTATGTCTCTTTGCTTTTTCCACTCTAGAGAAGAGCCCATGTTCTCTCTTGAACATGTTCTTCCTCCCTTTCTCTCTCCTTACTTCCAAGTGAGTTTTACTTAATAAAAAAAAATCTTGCTTCACTAAAAACAAATGAATTAATTAAATAAAAATAAAAATTAGGACAGGGGACCAGAGCGATAGTACAGCAGGTAGGGTGTTTTACTTAGCATGAAGCCAACCTGGGTTTGATCCCTGGCATCCTATATAGTCCCCTGAGTATCGCCAGGAGTGATTCCTCAGTATGGAGCCAGGAGTAACCTCTAATCTCTATGTGTGACCCAAAAAAGCAAAAAAAATAATCAATAAAAATAGGACATAATTTTTTCACTCTGTAAAAATTGTTTCAGTGTTTTCCTCTTTCAGTTTTGCCTACCATGTATATTTATGCAATTCACCATTATAACAGACTGTAAATGCAGGTATCAGTTTTGGATAGCTGAGATTCAAAATTTGTGAATAGACCACTTGAAAATTTACCTTTTCCCTTTACTTGGAAAATAGTCTAACCATTCAGTGACATTTGATAGCATAATTCTCATATGTTTAAAGATGGATTAGCTCATAAATCCAATATTGAATTTCGGTTCCAGAACTGACAATACTTAGGAATAATTACAAAAATTCTTAAGAGATTCCAAGTTCTTTTATGGTAAAGAAAGTATAATCCACCATAGTTGTGACAGATAGAATTATAGAGATCTAGAGTGTATAGATTAGGATTTGTTACATACTATTTAATTTGAAACCAAATTTTACATTGAAAATGTAAATTTTGGAACTAGGAAAGCTGAGTAATATTTTTATTGTGGAAATAGTTAACCTCTATTTATTGAAAATGAGAAATTAGCAAGAGGGAAGGAACTATATACTTATTTCCTGCTGCCAGGGACCCTTTTTTGTATTTTTTTTGTTATTGTGTTTAAAAATAACAAAAAATTGAAATCCTAATTTTTTAAAAAATGCATAGTTTTCCTCACAAAGTGCTTGCTTTTGACATTTTCCTGCTATAATAAGCATGATATATGTGATATATGAAATATAATATTTCACCTTTTTATATTTACCCAAATGAGACCCACAGGGATTAAGTAACACACTGTGGCTACACAGATTGTAATTAGTAAAGCCAGATGCCACACTTAGGTCTCTAAGAAACCAAAGCCCATGCTGGTTTCTCTGCATACTACTACTTGCTTTTGTATAATTAGCTGAAAATTATTTGTAGAATTCAAGCCAACCTGTTACAGTTTGAGAAAGACCAATGTTGAAAACTTCAGTTTTACTATTTTTTTAAGGTACTTCTTTTTTTCTCTCTCTCAGTAGATCAAAATAAAATAACTGTCATTCCAAAAAACACAGAAGATATGAAAAATGGAGTGAGGAGAACAGAAATTACTGTAGGAGAAGTTGCCAAAAATAACACTGTGGACGTGGAAGTTGACAGACTCTCAAACAATGAAGCACATAAAACTGACACTGCTCGAAATTATAAGGAAAATAATCTAGCTGCCTCAACAATATCAGACCAGAACCTGCATCAGTCAAATGCAGAAAAGACAAAAATGCAAGATGCAGCAATTCAGACAACCCTTCCTTCTTCTAACAGTTTTGATGGGAATGACCATATTAATTTACCTGACTGCAAGGTTGAAGAAAATGTACAAGCTTTGACTAATCACAAATCAACTCAGCATTCATCTTTAAATTCACAAGATTCTGTAAATACTTTCAGAAAATTAAGGAATCAGGATTCCCTAAATATACATTCAGAACATCACTATCAAAGATCTATCAAAGATCCCATTTCTGTACATGGTAATGATGATCTTTTGCCTCCTATTGACGGGATTGATAAAAACTCAACTGCCTCTAATATGAAGAATTATCCACTTTATAGACAAGATTCCAATCCCAGACCCAAACCGTCAAATGAAATTACAAGAGATTACATACCCAAAATTGGGATGACGACTTATAAAATAGTACCGCCCAAATCCCTGGAAACATTAAAAGATTGGGACTCAGAAACCGTAGTTTATAAAGATGATCAGGAAAGGCATACGTTAGGAAAAAAACACAGTCATCCAAGTGTGATAGAAACTACAATCCAATCAGAAGATGCTGTTTTTTCTGAAAGTCCAAAGGAGACCCACTCAGATCCTAGACAGATCCCTTCTCAGAGAATGGACCAACGGATCCACTCAACAGAGCGCCCACCCCTTAGTCCCACAGCAAATTCACTGAAACCTGCACCGAAGATGATGAGAGACACTGGTACCATTCCATTTGCACCCAAATTGGAAGAGATAAACAGTATTTTGGAATCAAAAATTAAACCACAGATTTCAAACCCTCAGGCCAAGCCAAGTTCTTTTTTTTTGCAGATGCAGAAAAGAGCTTCAGGTCACTATGTGACGTCTGCAGCTTCCAAGAGTGTTCACACCATCCCTAATCCTGTGCCAAGGGAACTAACACAAAAAGAAATGGAAAGGGATCCTCCACTTTCTCCAGAGCAAACACTTCCCCCCTTAAGTAAAACAGCTCACTCTCCTCCACCTTCGTCCCCCAATAAATATACTGATAATGGTATCAGCAGTCAGAAGCCTAAAGAAACCTCTCCTCCCCCTGTTGCTCCGAAACCTATGCCTCCTCTCTCAAGTCAGTTCTCATCATTAAATCTGAAGACTTTGAAAACTTTTGGTGCCCCCAAACCTTACTCAAGCTCTACTCCTTCTCCTTTTGCCCTGGCTGTAGTGAAAAGGTCACAGTCTTTCAGTAAAACACCTGTCAGATCCAGCAGTGATCCGGCCTCAGCCTCGTCTCCCACTGAGAAACAGGGAGGAAAGCCTTGTGTGAATCCCTCCGTGGATAGCCCTGCTAAGGTAAATGTTACTGTTTCAAAAACAAGGAATTCTTTTTCTTCTTTCTTTTTTCTTTTCTTTCCTGCTTTTTGGATCACACCCAGAGATGCACAGGGTTTACTCCTGATTTTGCACTCAGGAATTACTCCAGGCGGTGCTCGAGGGACCATATGGGATGCTGGGAATCAAATCCGAGTGAGCTGTGTGCAAGGCAAACGCCCTACCCACTATACTATTGCTTCAGCCCCCCAAAACAAGGAATTCTTACATGACATGTTTGGAATGGGGATTAACAAACTGGTCCTCACATTTCTGTTTCTTAACTCTGACTTCAGAAGATTGATCATACATAGAATCTTACCACTCACCATTGTAATTCATATAATAGGATAAAGTGTTACTCTATCATTATTACCTAATTGTGGTATTCGTTTTCTTCCTCCCACCCTCCCTTTATCTCTTCCTTCCTTCCTTCCCTCCCTTCCTCTCTCCCTCCCTCCTCACACAACCAAGGCATGTGCTTTGCCACTGAGTCATATTCCTAGTCCTTAGAAAATATTATTTTTATTATTATTATTATACTCCATATGGCTACACTAGCACGCGACAGGGACAGATGGAGATGTTACTGGCACCCACTCTAGCAAATCGATGATTAATGGGAAGTCAAGTGATCAAGTGATACTCCATAGAACATAGTCACAGAAAGGGTAGCATTTATTGTTTAATATACAGGTACCTCACTACCACCAAAGTGCTCCCAAAGTATCTACCAGTTAGAAAATATTTTGATATTACTTTGTTCATAAATTTCAGTTTATAGTTCTAACTGTGTCTTCCTGTGTTTTGATTATCTCAGCTTATTCTTAATTGTCCTAGATTTTCTGGTTTGTTTCTTTCTGTAATCCTACAGTACTATATAACATCAAAATAAGTCACTTTTATTATATAGGCATGCTAGCCTTATCAAGGACTAAAGAATCAAGCATTTCTCATCTGCTTTTTCTATAATAAACATTCAACCTCAGCTAATATTTACATAAAATTTAAACTGAAAACGAAGTCTAAATATATAATTTAAAATTCACTTATGTTTATTCATTGTCAATTTGTATAATTGTATGTATGTTGACCAAAATATCATTTAACCACTATCTAAATCTTAATAATTTACAAAAGCGAAGTATATTGACTAAGATTTAAAAACTCAGTACTATAATTTGCTTAGTTCAAATAGTGTATTCAAAGGATACCATGGAATTCAGAGTATGATCATAGTTAACTACAAGCAGTTTTTGAAAAATGCCTTATATAGTTTTTACTTGGTTCTTAAAAATTTCTTTCATAACTGTCTGACAGTTCCAAAGTATTTTATATTATTTTTTCAAACATCCCTGAGTAACAGAATTTTTCCTTAAATTTAAAACAATGTTTATCTTGTAGAATATTTCTTTATTTATCTCACATTTATGTTTATTACTTTGTTATAATGTCAAGAAGAGATGTATGATACAGGGTTTAACTCTTGAAAATAAAGCCTGTGATTTTTCTTAGAATGGAATACTATTCCTAAACAATGGATGCTCGGTTTAGATGATATACTTTTTGAATCCTTTCCCAAGCACTGTTTAGTTCATTCTTTTGTAATATTTATTTGGCAGTTTAGAAAAGACATTTTAAAATTCAGGGGTAGGATTTTAACAGTGTCCCCAAATCATCTACTAAATACTCCTTCTTGAGTTAATTTGATTGAATTAGAGTTTAAAGTATTTAAATAATTAAAAATTTTATATTCTTTTAAAAAATATTACTTTTTGTTGGTGGGGAGAATACAAAAAGTAGTAGCAGTTGTCCTTGTGATTTAAAAAATAAACCAAAATAAGCTGTTACATGTAGCATAATTATATTTGTTCATTTGGGCTGTCAAAAAATAGTTTTACAAGTAATAGGTTAGAATTACAAAAATGCATTGTCTTTTAGCCTGATGAATTTTTCATTATTTAGTTCTGCTCTTCTAGAGAGAGCTTTAAAGAAATAAGCATTGTTTGACTTAAGAACAGTATGTGACTGCATTTGTGAAACAAAGAGAATTACTTCACTTTCATCCTTATCCTCCCGAGCTCAAGAAAAAGGAAAGCAATGTTCTCATCTGCTATCTGAGCTCTGAGAGTGGGAATTCAGAGTGTGATGATCTAGTGTTATATCTGAAGTAGTACTGTGACAAATGGTGATTATTAAAGGACTATTGATCAAAAAAATACTTTTTAAAATGATTCATTCATTATTTGGGATCCATAAAAATAATGTGCATTTAATTTTATAGGAAAATGACTCTGCACATAATGAACAGAATTTGCAAGTATTATCTTCAGTGGACTGCCCAGCCTTCCCCCTTAAGAGACAGAGTTCTTTTACATTCCAGAGCTCCAGCTCTGACCCAGAGCAGATCCGGCAGAGTTTGCTGACTGCAATCCGCTCTGGAGAGGCTGCTGCCAAATTGAAAAGGGTAAGTTTTCTTTATCAGATGTGTGACAGTGGGTGTATTTTCAACACTGTCAAACTAATACTTAGCGGAAATTGTTTTCTGGCATTTAAATCTGAAAAGGTAAGATGCCAAAATTTACTCTTTTATGTCAGGGGTCATTTTTGAAGTTGAAGCTGAGAGAGTCCAGATCCTTACACAAACTTAGAAATATGTCAGATCTGTTTCCACAATATGGGCCAGGTGCAGAACACGGGCTTTTGCTCATTAATATATAACTATATATAGCAAGTGCCCTGGACCCTTATTTCAGGAAGAGCTTATGTTAGCACAGCAAGAAACATTCTTTGGAAAAGAACAATCCTTCCTATTCCAGAAAAGGGGCAGTAGTGACAAAGAACTGTTTTCAGTCATAACTCCTATTGCGATGGCAATTACTGCCTTCGATGGGATTTGAGGATGCAGGGAGTTTTATAACTTAAAAACAAATAAGGGAAAATGGAAACCTTAGATGAGACCTAATGCAAAAACCCAAGTCTTAACAACACTTGTTCAGAGCGTTGTCGTTTCTCCTGAGTTGCGTCGGAGGTGTAAGAGTTTCTCAGGACAAACACCACCCTCACTGAATGTCATGCAGGCCCCACACTCACAGGTTTCCACCCTCTGCTTCCTTCAGCCAGTAAGAGAAGACAGTGATGTGTTGGGCCTGGCATTCTCAGTTCAACTTCCCAGGGACCTGCTCTCCCAAGCTGGCTTTCTGTTCTCCCCTAGGTCATCCTGTTTGAAAGTTCTTCAACCCCCAAGACAAGGAGAGTGCTCATCATTTCACTGACTCCCAAGCCTTTCATATTGTGAATTCTTTGTGTAATCAGTTTAAAACCTATTTAGAGAAGACTAAGAATTATTGAGCAAAACACTGAGCTGAACAGAAATGAGATCTGCACAGGAGCAGGAACAAGCACTTAGGAGGGTGAGGCCTGGGCATGGCTCTCTCATTGGACATGCCTGCGTCAGAGTCAGTGAATTTTCTCTTCTGGGTCTTCTGTGGGTGCAGGAGTGACAGCTTCTTACATAGGGCTTGGCGCTCCTATTCACACAAATGGAGACCATCCGAAATATGTTGTGCTTGTAGGAGTGGAGGAAATGTAAAGGAATAATTTAGAGTAGTAATATTGAATTCCATATAATATTTGTAGAATCGAATTTAGGTGCAAGGCAGTTTAAAACACACACATACACACACACACACAATACACACTGTAGCTTTCAGTATCAAAATTGGTACTTCAGGGGTCAGAGAGAGAGTTTGGAAGTTGAGGCACTTGCTTTATGTGTGACTACCTCCAATTTGAATCTTTGGCACTATGTATGGTTCCTCAGTCCCACAAGAGGTAACTCCTGGACTCGGAACCAGGAATTGCCCCTGAGCACCAGTGTGCTAGTGTAGTGGCCTAGAAAACCAAAAAGGAAAAAAAACAAAAAGGTACTTGAACAACAGATTCTACTCAGACTCACCTGCATCCCAACTTGGGGTGTGTGATTTCTTTCTTTGACTTTATCTTGTTCCCTCTTTCCTCTCTCCTCTTCATCTCATACTTCCTAAATAAAATGACTTCACATAAAAATTCTCTTAACTGATTGTTAGTGCACCTGGGATTTGATTCAGTGGCATGAGACTCAGGTGAGACTCTTGGTTCAGTCCTCTGGAACTACAAACAAAAATATTTCTGAAAAATTAACATTGTTCCTTTTTGAACCATTATATTCATATTTTGTGGGGAAATTTGCCTATTTAATAAGTAGTACATTTACATTTTTTAAGAACTTCCATTTTTAATTGTATAAGGATGAGCTTCACATCAGTCACTTCTGATTTAAACATTTCTTAATAAGTTTTGAGGAACATTTTTAAGCACATAAGTACAAAACACTGCAAGCTTCTAGCAATACAGAAATGAGTAAAAGGAAGCTCTTGCCTTTGGGGCATTCACAGCCTGGGACCAAGAAACAGTGGTTTATCTGGTATATCAAGTTCACAGGAGAACCAAGTCACTGAATAAAATGGCAGTTCCTCTAAGTCAGTAGGTGTATTAATCTCTTTCAGTGAATTAACTGCAGTATATAGTACATTGAATTGGAAATGCCTTTTAGGCCAACAAATTCTACAGGCAAGAAGCTGTCTACGTGGCGTGTTATGGGCTCTGAATTGGCAGTCTTTTCACACATAAAACTCTCATTACTTCCAGAATGATCTGGATGTGAATCAACACAGAAAGCAGGCACTAAATGATGATCCTATAATTGTATCCTATTTATAGCTCATTACTTTAGTTAGGTTCTATTGAATCTAAACATTAGCAATTTCAGTAGAAGGCTCTATAGAGTAGATATCTAGGCTAGAGATACAATAGGTAGCTCTATAGAGAGCCAGTTTCACATATTTTGTTACTTGTTTTTTGAGCTGATGGTGCTTAGAGGCTGCTCTCAGTAGTGCTAGAAGTACCTCAAGTATTGAGGTACCGTGGAGTAACTGAGATTGGATCCAGGTCTCCTGTATGTGAAGCATGTGCTCCAGCTCATTTATCTGCTTCCATCATTCCAAATTTTGGCTTAGGGGTCAGAGATGGGAGTATAACAGGTACGGCATTAGAATATTAAAAGAATGGACTGCATCTAGCCATAAATTATAGAGAAATGAATAAAATATTTATGTAAAGTTTGGTAGTATGTGAAACTAAATTATACTAGTCATGCCTGCAGAAGTAGCCGTGTGTTGAGTATTTTAGTAACATCTAGCTTTTCTGGCTACTCCCAGCTCAGAACTCAAGGGTTGCTTGGAATAGTGCTGTGGGACCATAGTGCCAGGGATTGAACTCAGGCCTCCCACATGCAAGGCATGCTACTCTAAGCTATTTTCTTGGCCCTAGTTATTGCTTTTAAAATCAAGGAATTACATACGAAAAGTATTAGTTGTTAGTTCTAAAGGGAAATCAAAAGAGGTATTGGTCTTGGGAGGCAAGTCAATTATAAAAGTTAATGAACGACTGAAAATCTAAATAAGAGAGATACTACTTTAATGTAATTGACATTAATCCATATTAATGCAAAAATGCAGTGAAGAAATAATAAAATTTTAAATTAAAGGCAAAGAACTGGCGGTATTGCTTTTTTCTCCCTCAGTGATAAGTTAGTACCTGTTTGTATTTGTTTTCCCTGGGTTATTCATTAAAGTTCATGATCCTTTTCTGCATATGCATTACAAATTTCCAAGTTGTAACTGCATTACAGATGAACACAAAGGTGAGCACAAAGGCTCAGGTTTCTTGCAATCTTTGCTTCAGTTCCATGTATTTGTTTTAAATCCTCACATTTCCTTTAGAGAACAACAGTTCTGTTGCTAAATTAAATCTCCAGTAATTTTGACAGTAGGTGTAGATTGTTCATCAGAAATTTGACTCTGTGTTTGCCTATATTTTGGCATTCAGCTGTTCAGTTTAATTCCAGGTATCACTCTGCCTTATGGCTCTGGTTCAGATGTGAGCAGTTAACCTTCACCATAATAGGCAGCTCACGTTAAAACAATTATCTAGTTGATTGCTCTAGAGTAAAGGCAATTGTGAACATGCCATTGTTTTTCATGTTTCTTTTTTTTTTTTTATCAGTGAAACACCAGGAGGCACAGTTATAGACTTACAAATTTTTGTGCTTGGGTTTCAGTTATACAATGATCAAGTATCCATCCCTCCACCAGCACCCATCCTCCACCACCACGGGTCCCAGCATCCCTCCCACCCCCCTTCTCCCCCATCCCACCCTGCTTCTGTGGCAGGGCATTCCCTTTTGTTCACTTTCTCTCCTTTTGGGTCCTGTGGTTTTCAAGAAAGGCAATGAGTGGCAATCATGTTCGGTCTATAGTCTACTTTCAGTATGCTTCTCCCATCCTGGGAGGATCCTCCCAACACCCTTTATTTGGTGCTCCCTTCTCTATCTGAGCTCCCTTTCCCCCTAGCACGTGCGGCTGGCCTCCAAGTCATGGAGCAAAATTCCTGGTACTAATCTCGGCCACTCCTGGGTGTTAGTCTCCCATTTTGTTGCTTTATGTTCCCCAGATGAATGCAATCTTTCTGTGTCTATCCCACTCTTTCTGACTCATTTCGCTTAACATGATACTTTCCATGTAGTACCACTTGTATGTGAATTTCAGTTTTTCATGTTTCTTGAGATTTATTTTCTACCTTACTCAGGCTTAACCCCTTTATAATCAGAGAGTTTTTTTTTACTTTATAACGTTTCAATCAATATAGCGTAGTATTTTATAAAATATGTTCAATGTTAAGATGTTTATATATGAATCAGTAAATTGTTTATAGAGAACAAGACGAATTAAGTAATTCATTATCTTTGATTTATTTTGTTTTTGTTCTTTTGGCCACATCTGCCATGGCTTAGTGCTTTCTCCTGGCTCTGTGCTCTGGGATCTTGCCTTACCTACTGCACTATCTGTCTAACAACAATTCATTCGTTGACACAAGAAATTCTTTGGCTGCTTTTTGCTTTGGTAATGCTTGGATTGTAAAGGTATTTTTATATTATTGCCAGCAGAATATAGGTTTGTAAAATAAAGCCAAAAATTGACAAATAATGTTTAGTACTTATTTGTTTCCTCAGAATTTAAAATTTACCCTCTGCAAGATAGAATCCTGCCAGGAATTGAAAACTGAATAAGTTATCCAGGATCTTGCTGGCTTTTTTTATATACAATTTTAATTAGGATTTCTAATGAGGTAAAATATGGAAACATAAAAATGAATAAACTTGATGGACTTTCACAAAATGAACACATCTGTGTAAGCTATATAAAGATCAGATGCAAAATGTTCCCAAAATTCCAGAGACCCTTTAGAGTTTCACAAAACCCCTCAAAGATTAGCCAAAATACAGACTTCTTACATATGTGCTTGTTTTCCAACTCTATATAATGGATTGTGAAATTATACAAATATATTTAAGAATCATTCTTAAATATATTTAAGAATTTTGGATACATGACTGTGGTCCCAAGAACCACAGGGAATAGGCAGTGCTGAAACCTTAGGCCCTAGCATTCAACCTAAAAGCTTGGTTGCCTGGGTATTGACACGATCTCCCTAGACCCCTTAGAACTACTTTGGGACTCCCCAAAATTATACAAATACAATTTCCCCAAAATAACTGCTTAGACCAGATAACTATAATTTTTCAGGCCACTTCTGTAATATGTACACAGGCTTAATATATTTTATAAAAATAGTCAACTGTGAAATATTTATTAACATGTCTTTGAAGCTTTCCATCTTATTGCATATAAACCTAGGCAACTTGTAAATTCTATGTAATATTTGACTATATAAATCATAGGTATTATTTTCGTTTTATAGATAGACTGGAAATTTTTACTCTATAAATGGTACAGCAATGAATATCTTGTTAGTAATTAGAATCATTAGTATATTTTTTAAATGCTTTGAACAAGTTTTCTCTAATTTTACAAGGAATCAGGAGTAGTGCTGTTTGGGTGAAATCATAAAAATAGCTTCTTCACATAGAGACCTTGGGACACAGATTACATAATGAGAAGTTATTGTCTGTAGTTTTTTGACTATATATTAAATAGAAATCACACATAAATACTTTGGGGGGATTTGTTTTCCTTTTTCTGGTGGCAACCTTTTCATTATAGACATTTTAACTCAGGTACATACTATCAAATTCTATATTCTATCCTGTACTCAGAAGACAGGAAAATTGATTTAGGGGGCAGGAGAGAGAGCACCCAGGGCTAAAGTGCATGCTTCGCATTAGGGGGTTCTAGGTTCAACTTCTTGCACTATACAGTGCCCTGAGCACTCTACTACAGGATGTGGTCCAAAAAACTTTATTTGTTTAGCAAATAAACAGTCTCCTCCTGCTAAAAGACAAATGAGACAAAAAGACTGGTGAAGAAATAGTAACAGTGGGCAGGACACTTGCCTGAATGCTACTGATCCAGGTTCAAATCCCAGCACAAACACCAAACCCAAAAGGAGTGATCTCTGAGCACAAAGCGAGGAATAATTGCTGAGCACCACCAAGTATGGCCTACCTCCCATCCAAAGTAAAACAAATCCTAACAAAAGCAATTTGGTCGGAGGTAGAGGCAGCTCCCATTCATACTCAGGTAATGGAGAAGCCTACCTAGCATATCTCAGACAGTCGGTCTGGTGACTCGGTTTATGGTCTGTGGGTTTTCCACACCACCCCAGCAATGCTTCAGGTCCTCCAGAACTGCACCAAGTGATGGTGTTGGGGGAGGGGGGCAGAGGTAGAGGGGACTTAAGCTGCCAGAAAACAAACCAGGATTGGCTTACGTGCAAAGCAGGTGTCTTAACTTTTTACTCTCTTTCCAGCCTTCCAAACCTAATTAAAATTTTATTTTGCTATTCAGTAACTCACCATGTTACTGTCATTGTCACTGTCCTCCCGTTGTTCATCGATTTGCTTGAGCAGGCCCAGTAACATTGTGAGATTTGTTGTTACTGTGTTTGGCATATCAAATACGTCACAGGAAGCTTGCCAGGCTTTGCTGTGCGGGCGAGATACTCTCGGTAGCTTTCCGGGCTCTCCGAGAGGGGTCGCGTAATCGAACTTGTAGGAATTGAACTTGGGTTGCTGTGCTATCACTCCAGCCCACCATGTTACTAGACAGAATATTATTTTTATTGGATTTTTCTTCCTATGGGGGGGAAATGAGTTTGGCTTTGGTCTAAACTTGTGAAATCATAACCTAAGGAAAAAATACCATATTTTATAAAATTAGTTACTGTTCTGAGTACAGACTCTTTTTTTCTTTACAGTCTTCTAAGTAATAGGGATGTTTCAAGCTATGTCAGAAATCTTGCTTTAGTGTTTTTCCATTTTCTTACAAAATGAAAATTAAGTTTTGAAGAGAAGACTTTTGCCACAGAAATTGGGAATTTATCCATTTTATTTACTGAAAATAATTTTCTGTGATTGTTTTAGCATAAAACCCCAAGATTCAACTTCATTAGTCCTTCAAAATGAAAGCTGTTTTTTTTTCTTATAAATAAAAGGGGACTTAGAAGGAGAACTTCAATTTAATGCATTCGTTCAATGCAACAATTGCAATTTTATTGCTTTGTGGAATTTACTCTGTTTTTCTCTGTTTTCTGGGGCATTTGTGGAGAGGCAGAATAATCTCGCTAAAAATGCTCTTTAACAGCTTGGCCTGCAGTCTGTTTGTGCCGCTGTCCTTTGAGTTGATTTGGTAATTTTGTAAAGACGGAGATTTGTTAATGGATTATTTAACTTGTTTGTTGTGGAAATAACAACTCTCTCATTTTTAATTTCATGGTAGAGTTAATATTTATTCCTGGTTATTTGAAATTTATTGAATAACAAGTAATTAATTTTATTGGCAATTTATTGAATAAAAATAAATGCTAAGCTGGCATTAAGTATGAGGGTTGTTGAAAATTGGACAGCTGTCCCATGAAAAATTGACAGGCACAATGTGTGCTTCGTTCTCTCAGGTTGCTGTTCCATCAAATACAATCTCTGTGAATGGACGGTCAGGACTCAGCCATTCCACAACCTCCGATGCTCAGGATGACCATTAGATACCGTGTGTACCTGCACTTCACCACTGCTTCATAAGACAACTTCAGACTAATGGAGAGTATTGACCAGTTGTATATTTAGATATACACTAATATATTGTCTACAAAAGCATACGATTTTGTGCTATGGCTATTAATGCCCAAAAGAGTTACCAGAATTTATAATTTATAATATTTCACATGTTTTTGCCTTAGAGCTGAATTTGCTGCTTTAGAACTTTAAGACAGGGTGTTAATGACACTCTTTTTTTTAATGAAAAATTGTCACCTTTTGTTAATTTCACTTATTGACACATTTTTCACAATGGTGACTTAGAAGGATAAATTAAGGTTCATGGATAATTTGTGTGACACATAAAAGCTAAGAAGCAAACGTAGATCTGACATTTGCTGCCTCTATGTTATAGTTTATTTGGAAATGCTTATAAATTCCAATGCCTAAATGGGCTGAACATAAATTATATCAAGTAAGTATATTCAGTTCAACTGTTAATTTCAATGATGATTCATGTACTGTAGCAAGTCTCATCTTATATGCTTGTTATATACTTACAAAATTACTGTCAAATTTATGGAAAACTCCTAGTATTTTGATATTTTATTAAGTGGAATACTTGTTTTTTTCATCTTTATAACTTAAATGGCACAAGATGAATTTTAAGTATTTTCTGTATATAATTTTGACATCATCACACAGACATACATTTTATTTGCCACCCAGAAGCCTTAAAAATCTTCCCGTGACAGTGCTGATATATTGTGACAATTATTTCATATCCTGTACATATAGAAAAGAATAGGGGTTAGTTTATATCCATATTGGAAAAATTTAAAGACTACTTGGAGGGTACAGAAATCCTGGTTTAATTAAAGTGGATGATAAAGTCATTATATAGTTTCAGATGCTAATATTCTAAATGATAATATATATTTACTTTAATGCTAGAACTGTTAAGCAGAACATTCCTAATTTGTTAGCTTATAACTGTTCCAGAATTTAGAGCTATTGATGTTCTATCCCCTCTTTAAGAATTTAATTGCTCACTCATTGTAAAAGCTTTGTCAAACAAGCTGATGTTAAGTTGCTTGTCTGTAAATTTCCTAGGATGTTTGCCTCTTGGAAAAATATGTTGATTTTCTCCTCGTGTTTAATAAAACATAGTGATACACTTATGATGCCCTTTTGTTTTTATACAGTTTGTTAATCACTGTGTGTTTGTGTGTGTTTGTATGTTTCAACTGCATTGCTATCACTAGCAGACAAGCAAGTAATAACAAAATCTACCCCTCTTGAGACTCCTTTATATATATTTCTAAATATGTATATTTTTATGTATATATAATATTTAAGTTCAGATATCCATCTCTCAAGTGCTTGATCTGAGCTTGTTTAGCAAGTCTCGTTCCATGGCAATTGCATGTTAAATGTCACTTCTGTTTTCTTGAATCAGTCTTTGAGAGACCCTCAATGTATGGATATTGAAATTATGTCATTGTAAACAAGCAGGGAAAGAAGTGCTTTTGAAAAAACTATGCTTGTATAACATAAGCCACAGAAGAAGATAAGTTTGGACCTCTCTCAAACCATAAACAAATATTTTTGAGTTGGATTAAAGACAAAAACTTACATGCATATATTAAACATATTTCAAAAATATTTAAATGATATACAAAGGCACAGCCATAAATCATATGAAAAACTTAAATATATCAACATTCAAAATGTATATGTAGGGGGCTGGAGAGATAGGTAGGGTAGGGCATTTGCCTTGCAAGCGGCCGACCCGGGTTTGATTCCCAGCATCCCATATGGTCCCCTGAGCACTGCCAGGAGTAACTCCTGAGTGCAGAGCCAGGAGTAATCCCTGTGCATCGCCAGGTGTGACCCAAAAAGCAAAAACAAAAAAATATGTATATGTATAGGGTCTGGCAGATGGTTCAGTGGTTTAAAGCATTTGGCTGGGCAGTATACTTTAGGATCATGTTCAAATCCCAGTCCACAGGCAACGAGGCCACTCTGGGAGCTCAGCTCTTAATGTAGCCCAGGTACCCAGGTGATTCTCACTGCCCTGTGGGTTGGGGTCCATGGTGATTGAAGGGGGAAAAAAGAAAAACCTTACTTGCTCCTTACTTACTATAGAGAAAAGAAAAGCCACAGTTTTGTTTTCCTGAGACCTCAAGTTGCCTAGATTTGAAAATGAGTCACAAAATGAAGCTGAAGTAAGAGATTTTTCATATATACTTGTGTTCAAATTCTACTGACCTCGGGATATTGGTGGTAGGAAATGTACACTAGAGATGGGACAATGTTGGAAAATTGTATGACTGAAACCAAATCATGAAAAACTTTGTAACTGTGTATCTCATGGTGATTCAATTAACAAAAAAAAGTAAAAATTCCTGTGCTACATGCAAAGATGATCCAATAGAAATATTTTCATACTAAAAAAAAAATAAAAAGAGATTTCTTACAAGAGAAAATCAAAGACCAAAAAACATATGGAAAAAATACTCTTCACTAGTCATCAGGGAAACGAGTTAAAAACACAAGGAAGTACAACATCAAATCAGCAAAAATGTGATACATCAATCAAAAATAGCAAGTGTTGTCAAGCACACGAAAGTAGGGGGAACTTGGTGGGGAAAATAAGCAGCATAGCTACCAAATCTGCATCATCTGGTAAAATTAAAGATCTCTTTCCATGTTGCCTTAAAAGAAAACGTGTACCTATGAATAAGAAGCCATATACAAAGAGACATTCTCCGGGCTTCATTTTCAACTCTGAAAAACGGGGTTAACAATATGACTACTTAGTGGGGGCAGCTGTAAAGACTAAAGGAATTTAAAAGGTGCCTGGAACACAGACTTCATTTTTAAAAGCAGTATTTTCTTTCTTTTTTTTTTGTTTGTTTATCATTTTTGGTTTGGGGGCAGAGTTCTGTGGTGCTTCGGTGTCACCCCTTCAGTGTTCTGGGGATCCCGCAGTGCTAGAGAGGAATCTCATGCATCCCACAGCTCTTTGAATTATCTCCCCTACCATTCAAGTTGTGTTTCATAAAACTGCCATAGTCAAAGGGTATTATTTATCTCATATATTTCCCATAATTCTTGAGACTTACTCTATTTCAAAGCCAAGTCCAGTCTTAGCCACCAGACACAGTAACAGAAGACCAAATTTGTTTTCTAATCCACTCCCTTTCCTTGAAAACACCGGTTTGGTTTGGTTTGGTTTTGTTTTCCTGAGACCTCAAGTTGCCTAGACCTGAAAATGAGTCACAATTCATGTAATTATTTGTCCAAAGTCCACTTTTTTGCATACTCCCAGTTAATACAAGAACAACTCAAATTTATCAGTCTTATTAATTATTGATATGATTAATGACTTGTAAACAATGGATGTTACAAATAGAAGTCATGATGAAAATTTCTACAGATAGAGTATTTTCCCCACCTGCGGTTTCTTTTTTCTTTTATTTTCTTTTTTTAATGTATAAATAGCTCATAGTGGGCCAGGTACATTGCTCAGAGGTAGAGACAGCAAACACTTGTTTGTGTGAGGTCTTGGGTTCAATCCCTGTCATGCTGGAGGTATGGAAAGCCCATATTTATTTGGCTCTTTAGAGTTTACACAGAATCTTGTTATTTGATCTACACATCAAACAAAACACAGAGATGGCTACTATACAAAGGTCACAAAAACAGTCATGTGTCAGACCCACATTTGATTTCTAACATGCTCTTTCCAAAGACCAAACTTTGCAAATGATGAAGAAAATGGAGCTAGATTTCAAGGAACACCAAAATAGTAACTCACTTATTCTGGATCTACACTTGGTCTTCCTTTTTATCTTAAATGTTACCACTTTCCTGCAATGTTTTATCCTTAACACCTCAGACTTTTCATATGGGTAGATGTATTTTGTTTATGGCAAGAAAAAATGCCACCATGTGCTCCCTCAAAAGAACTTTTTTGACAGGTATTTCAAGATAAATTGTGAAACATTCTGGTAATTTGTGTAGAACTGTTGGCACTTCACAAACTGGAGAAATTCATTTGGAAGCCTTGCAAATTATTCATCTTGGAGAAGAAAAAGTGCTATAATTCAAACAAATTTATATTTTTCAAAACAAGCAACTTCTTTGAAATTCATTTTTTATGTTCTCACCCTTTCCCTAGATTAGACTGATGACCTCATTATCTGCATCCATACCTGAAATATTGCCATGACAAAGACACCTTTGGATTATGTGAATTGTCCCCAGTAAAGGGTGAGATATTTATGGAGTAGAATCCCTGTATGGGGCCTACCTGGACAGTCAAGCAGTCAAACCCCCAGATATGAAAAAATTAAGTGATGCTTATCAGAAGGGACACAGAGCTGGCCCCTAACCGACTATAGTGTGTGAGCAATAAATATTTACCCTCCAGCTATGTCCCCGAGCTTTTATGATTATTTGGTGTACAGTGTTGATGTGGCAATAGATGTAATACACCCTCTTAAGCAAACTTGTGACTTTACCCCTAGCCACAGATTCATTCAATTTGTTCAGGTCCAAATATCCTATTTCACTAGGAGTTCCTCAGATTAATCCAACACAAATATACCTCAGACATTCTGTCTAGCTCCCTCAACTAGCTCAAAAGAATTCTGTTATATAACTTCTTTATTTCTTATGACACAGAAATATTTTTTTTCTTCCTACCTCATTGGGGAAAGGGTATCTCTTAAGTGCTCAGGGATAACTCCTAGCTCGGTGCTTAGGGATCACTCGTGGTTGTGCGTGGAGAGAACATATGCAGTACCATGGATCAAATTGGGGTTCACTCCATGCAAGTCAAGTGTCTCGCCTCTGTATTATATCTCCAGTCACTATCTTTTTTTTATCTTAAGACCTGGGAGCATGAGAGTTCAAATATCAGACATCCATAGCTCTACGAAATGTACTATTTCTTAGATATTCTAGATAAAATATAGTATGAATTATTTTTAATTACTCTTTCAAAAAAAGAACGAAACAAATAATCATGTTTTAGCCTAAGTGTATATCATTAATCACTGTCACTGTCACTGTCCTATTGTTCATCAATTTGCTCAAATGGGCCCAGTAACATCTCCATTGTGACACTTGTTACTGTGTTTGGCATATCAAATACCTCACAGGTAGCTTGCCAGGCTTTGCCATGCTGGAGGGATACTCTCACTAGCTTGCCAGGCTCTCCGAGAGGGGCAGAGGAATCGAACCTGGGTCGGCCAGATTGGCCGTGTGCAAGGCAAATGCCCTACCCACTGTGCTACCGCTCCAGTCCATATCTTTAATATTGCGATATAATTATACTAAAAATTGATTATCAAAAACATAAACTTAGATGCCAGAGGTACATGCCTGGTATGCAGCTGACCTTGGTTTAATATTTGGTGCCACACATGGTCTCATGAGTCCCATCAAGAGTGACCCGAGTGCAGAGCCAGAAGGAAACCTTGAGCACTGCTGGGTGTGACCCCTCCAAAAAAAGAAACAACCCAGAAATCTAAATATAAACTGGGAATGTCATATTTTTCTTTTCTAAGTCTAGCCACTAATTTTCATTGAAAATATGAAGAATTAATCCAGAAGTATGGAAAAGCATCTAGTCAATGGGGAAAGGAAAAGAGAACAAGCCCAGAGTCAAAGTCATAGAAGTAGCTTAATCTTTTCTCTTTCATAGTTCACAAAAGCTGAAAAAAAAGAAAAAAAAAACCTCGAATAAGGGAAGGGGAAAAGTTCATTGAAGTGTCGACAGTGACGAAAGTCACAGTTATCTCTTTTTGGTAGGTTTTAGATCATTTCAAGTCGTAGTAATATTCTTAAATTTACTAATGTTCTCATCTATTTCAGCATATTAAAATGATAGTTAACATATAACTGTTACAATTTGATTGGAAGGAATATGGTTTATCATTGATACATATTTTTTTGTTTATTTTGGGGATCATACCCAAACTCCTGACTTTGGGTGCAGGTATCACTCCTGGTGGTTCTTAGTGGTACCCATGTACAATGTAAGAGTCACCCCTGTACAATATCTCCATCCCTATATACATAATTTTTGTTCCTACATGTTTAAAATTATTCATGAAATCTGAGAAATAAATTATTGAGATACTCCTACTACAGTAGCCGGTAATACTAT